TTTTACTTTAATCCCGTAAGATTTCGCGGTTTTTTTTTCTTTACCTTAAAAATTCAAAGAAATTTCAAGGCTTTAGTTAAATCTTCAAAAAACAAAATAAAAATCCCAAATATTCGCCTAGAAAATGAGTATTAATTTATTTTGTGTTGTGTAAAGTTTAAAGTTATTTGGGAATTATTGATCTACTGTAATGAAAAAAAAAAGTGACATTGGTGTGAGAAATAAACCTTCATTAGCGGACTATTTTCTGACAAATTTGTGAATGAAAAACCGATTTTTTTTTTATTGAGAGTTTGGTCTGAGTTGTAAAATGTTTTCTAAATAATTGTCATCGTCTAATTAACCCTTAATTATTATTTTAGGGTTTTTATTACTATAACTTATTGGAAATTTGTTCATGTGAGGAGAAATTTATTCTACATCACAAACACCACCAACCACAACACCAACCCACCACCCACACCGCTACACAACCCACACCACACACACACACACACACACACCACAACCCACACCACTACACCACCCACACCATAAACACACTTCTCACCACCCACACCGCTACACAACCCACACCACACACACACACACACACACACACACACCCACACACCACAACCCACACCACTACACCACCCACACCACACACTTCTCACACACACACACACCACAACCCACACCACTACACAACCCACACACACACACCACAACCCACACCACAACCCACACCACTACACCACCCACACCACACCATTTCTCTCCATATCAAGACGCCTCAGAATAACTCACTAAAGTGAACTTAACAATGAAAGTCACGTTAGGTTAAGTTAGGTTAGGTTAGGTTAGGTTAGGTTAGGTTAGGTTAGGTTAGGTACTGTATTTATTGTGGGTTAAAGCGATCACTGTGTTGCGAAGTCAGTTATGAAGAGAAACAGAAAAGGGAGAGAACGAAATAGAGAAAGAAAGATAGAGATAGAGAGATAGAAAGAGAATAAAAGAAAGATAGAAAGAACGAAAGAGAGAGAGAGAAAGCGAATGAGAACGTTATAGAGAAAATGGGATTGAGAAAGAAAGGGAGACAAACAGAAAGATAGAATGAGAGAGATAGAGATAGAGAGAGAAGAAGAATGAGTGATTGAAAGAGAGCGAGACAAGAAACAGACGTAAATAGAAAAAAAGAGAACACGAGAAATATATATACTGTATATATATATATATATATATATATACGAAAGATAAAAAAAGAAAAAAGAATTCGACCGAAAACATTAGCAAGAATCCTTAGCAAACTAAAGAATACAACTCCTTTAGGGTGTTTTAAGGACACAACAACCTCTAGTGTGTCCTAAACTGAAAACACAGGAATAAAGTTTGCTCTGTACGAATCGAAAAACATAATTATTACACTACTAACATTTTTATGTAAACTTTTGATAATCCATGGATTGTTTTTCTGTTTCGTAATTAGATAAACACGGACTGATATTTATAAATTTTAAGCTAAGGAGTCAGTGGCATATTGATGGCTTAAATAAGTATATGCTATGTTAATATATGTACCATGTCTGTGATTAAGTGTGTATAAAAATAATATATTGTTATTTCTCATCCAGAGACTGGGAAAAGTACCTGCCTGATACCATACACCAGTATTCACAACATACAACATTACCCATCACATATAACATACACAGCATACACCATACACACAGCATACACCATACACACAGCATACACCACAAACAAATTCACCATACACAACATACACCACACACAGCATGCAATATACACAATATATACCATATACAACGTGCATCATACACAACATACATAACACACACCATACACATTATACACCATTACTCACAATATGCATCATACACACCATACACCATTACTTACTTCATACACCATACATACCATACACATAATACACTATCATTCTGTCTCTCAGGTGATTGAGTGACATATTACGCATCCTTGAATAAATTAGCTTTAAATGCGTATATGACGTAATAAATCACGTATTCTAATGTGCCTCCGTGAATAACAGTCAGCGTGTGTATTAAAGAGTACCGTTCACACTGCTACAAGTACTAGTAGTATATAAGTGAACTTTTGTAAGTATTGTAAGTTGTTTTTTACTGTTACCAAAACAATAACAGGAAATAATTCTAAAGTGCCTAGGTAAAGTAGGTATTTAAGTACGTTTCTAAGTATAAGTCTCAGTTCGAATAAGGTCTGAATCATACCAGTAAGAAATTGTACGTATTAAAGTTACCTATGACGATTTCTAAGTATTTATGTTGACGTCAAAGGACTGTATCTATGAACGTTGTAAAGTAACTTAAGATGTCTCAATAGATACTCAAAGCAATAACAACAAACAAATCGAAGAGTGCTGTTTTGTGTGTGTGTGTGTGTGTGTGTGTAACATTTAGGAAGACTCGCTGCCTGTAGGGTCACTAGGTTTGGTATCTTGTAAATGTGTGGCAACTACATCATGATGTAGTTGTACTCGTATGGCCACTACAAGACTGGTGCAAAGGTTTCGTCAGTAGAGGATGTGCAGATAGATGTGACTACTACAGAAGAATATAGGAGGTGTGGGTCACAACAAGATGATGTAGAGATGTGGCCTCTGCAAGATTGGTATAGATGTATGTAGGCACTACATGTGGGTGTGGAGTATTGGCCACTATAAGTTGTCAAGGTGGCCATCACAATCAGATAATAAGGTTAGATCCCATTAATAAAATGTCGAGATGTGGCCACTATAACACTATAAGGCGTGTGGCCATCGCAAGAGGTTGTGGATATAGGACCATCAAAAGGGAATACAGAGGTGTGACCTCTACAACAGGGAGTAGATGTGTGGCCACTACATGAAGGGGTAGAGGTGTGGCCACTACAAGAGGGGGAAGATGTGTGGCCACTACAAGAAGGGGTAGAGGTGTGGCCACTACATGAAGGGGTAGAGGTGTGGCCACTACAAGAGGGGGAAGATGTGTGGCCACTACAAGAAGGGCAGATTACTCACAAGAGGGTAGATGTGGCCAATTAAGCATGAAGGGGCAGTGTGTACACTACAAGAGGGATGTGGCCACTACAATACGGGGTAGACAAAATACTACAAGAGGGGGGCAGATGCACACCACGAAGGCAGAGGTGCACACCACAAGATAGGTAGATGTGTACACTACAAGAAGGGGTAGAGGTGGGCCACTACAAGATGGGGTAGATGTGGCCACCTTCTCACAAGAAGGGGTAGAGTGTGTGGCCACTACAAGATAGGCAGGATGTGCGCCACTACAAGAAGGGGTAGATAAGGGCCACTACAAGATAGGTAGACGTGTGGCCACCATAAGAGGGGGTAGAGATGTGGCCACTACAAGAGCGGGGGTAGAGGGGTGTGGCCACCAAAAAGAGGGGGTAGATGTGTGGCCACCACAAGAGGGGGTAGAGTGTGTGGCCATCACAAGAGGGGGTAGAGTGTGTGTGGGCTACTACAAGAGGGGGTAGAGTGTGTGGCTACTACAAGAGGGGGAGGTGTGGCTAATTACAAGAGGGGGTAGAGGTGTGGCTACTCATGGGGGGTAGAGGTGGCCACTACAAGAGGGGGGTAGAGGTGTGGCCACTACAAGAGGGGGTAGCGTGTGGCCACTACAAGAGGTAGAGGTGGCCACTACAAGGGGGGGGTAGAGGTGGCTAATTACAAGGGGGGGTAGAGGTACACATAAAAACCTAAGTAGGGTTATTGATTATGTTGTAAGATGGATGAAATGGTGAGGCTTCACCCTCTCCCCTCTACTACTTCACCCTACTACTTCACCCTCTCACCCTACTGCTTCACCCTCTCCCCTACTACTTCACCCTCTCACCCTACTGCTTCACCCTCTCCCCTACTACTTCACCCTCTCCCCTCTACTACTTCACCCTACTACTTCACCCTCTCACCCTACTGCTTCACCCTCTCCCCTACTACTTCACCCTCTCCCCTCTACTACTTCACCCTACTAGTTCACCCTCTCACCCTACTACTTCACCCTCTCCCCTACTACTTCACCCTCTCCCCCTACTCCTTCACCCTCTTCTTCACCCACAAGTTTATTCAAGTGTTATTCCATTATCTTCCTCACCTCTTTTCATTTACCGCTGACGAAATGAAACGTTTATTAAACCGGATATGACGAGAGAGCAATCATAGTTTCACTCCTTTGTTTTCCTCGTATTTCCTATTCATTATCGTATTGTGTTTCCTCATATTTCGTCCGCAAGACATAAGAGATATTTACCACAAAAAAATCGCTTTCCAGAAACGCAATTACATCACTTGGTATAACCCGTGGCGGTGGATAATCGTCCATACTTCGTCTCACGTTTGGACACGAAGGGCTGAACTAAGAACGTTCATAGTGTGTTTAATTATATATATATGTATTTTATGAGGTTTTCACGTTATATGGGGTTAAGTAAAGCTATGATAATCGGTAATTTATAGGTAATATAGAGGAAAATAAGAGTAGGGTTCTCTGGGGTCAGTCGCCGTGGTCAGAGTCATTGGATGCGTTTCGTGAGCGGAGGGGAAACAAAGTTGAATTATTAAGTAGTGAGTGAAGATTCCCATGAATACCATGACCTGGTGAGTGAGTGTTGTATGCGGGCCTGCAGTCAGCCTACTTTATGACATCGTGGGTGCAGGTTCTCGAACCCTACACAGTGCATAATTGACGTAAACTTCTCACACGTCACAAGTCATCCCAACCTTTGGGCTCAGCTGATCGCCCAAAACAAATACCAGTGAACTTTATGACCAGATTCCATTGATCTATTGTCAATGCCAATAGGTATAATCACGCTCCATGTTGACTTAATCCTAACCACAGGGTCTCTTCCGAGCTCATTCACCTTCCACTTCCAAAAACAAGACATTTTTTAAGTCATAACCACTAGGAGAGGCACACAAGAGAGGGAGATAACCTGTCTTTAAATGGACTTACCTTTCTTGGAGGTGGCTGCATCCTGACATTAATCCTAACCTGAGTGTTTATGTTGTATTAAGAAGTTTAAGGTTGCACACGGTTCACCAGTGCTCCCCCACCTCCACACTGGCTACCATACTACTCCCTTCCCTGTGGCTCTTCCTTCCACGCCACGCCCTCCCCGCACATACTCATTCCAGCCGAGGTTGCTTATTTCTATGTACCGCCCACACCTCGTCCTGCCACCTCTTTCCCACGCTTTGCTATTTGTCCGTGAGGCAAAGGGGGGTCCTCCTGCATGATTTTAGAATGAATAAATCGCCTTTACTAATCAATAGCGGAATAGAAGGATGTCGATAAGAGAGTAACCGGTTCACAGGGGGTGGGGGCGGCGCGAGGAAGAGCCAGTAACGATCCAGTCGGTGGGGGAGTCGGACGGGATCAGTTGCCAGTCACGGCGAGGATATTCGTATTCATTTTACCGTAAATTACTCCACCATATCTTAAAGTCCGCTCGTGCCGTGTGTTTACAGGGAGTGGCTGAACGCCGTTTGTTCACTCTGTGGTATTCGGGCATCGATTTTATTGTTCGATTGTGAGGGAGGCTCAATCGAATCCCGTTAACTGCAGCCCGAAAGATTCCCCTCTCTCCCTCTCCCTCTCTCTCTCGCTGAGCTGTCGACCTCCCCTCCCGTGTTAAGAGTATACACCAGTATGACCTCTATGTCTTGGTACATTACTAACCAAGCAAAAATAATAATGGTATGGATAACGTTATATTGTACTGTTGCCATGATGGAAATAATATACCTAGACATATGTGTTGTTTTTGTCGGGGGTAGAGTCTTTCAATATCACTGCAAGGACCAATATATATTTTTTTTCTACATCTTTCATGAAGGTAAACACGGACGAGATCTGGGAGTAAAATTCCCTGTGCCGTCCATCACCATTTTTATTTATTTTTTGATTACGTTTAGTCGGCCCGCTGCCAGCCCGCTTGCTCTGACCTAACTGAAGATTTTTTTTTTTCGCGCGAGAGGGGATTTTTTTCATAAATATTTTTAATAAACGTTGCCGACCATCAGAAAGGAAAAATAATTTGGTTAGCCCAATGTTCGCCCGTTTTTCCTGACTTGACTGAACGATGTTTATAGTTCAAGATCGGAGGTTTCCCTTCAGATCCACCAATGTACAGTTCAAACGTATACGACAAACTCCACACGAACGCAGATGATAAAAGTTTTATAAATTTTACTTTCATCAGTTTTTCATTTCCTCTTTACAAATGAGAAAATATAATTATTGTTACCGAAGATAAAAAAATACTTAAATAAATAGTTTGTTCCCCTGCCATGTTTACAATTTCTTCTCGTTTTTGGCGGGAAAATTGAATTCTGAAAGCATGATGTAATATTTTATGGCGACCTTTATTTTCTAGTCTTTGGTGAGTCTTAGGAAACTTTGGTCGATTTTTTACGCCTTAAGAAATTTTGGTGGAAAATACTTGGAAGGATCTCTCTCTCTCTCTCTCTCTCTCTCTCTCTCTCTCTCTCTCTCTCTCTCTCTCTCTCTCTCTCTCTCTCTCTCTCTCCATACACCCCCCCCATGCACTCACTTTCCCACGCACACTCCTTTGCACTCTCTCAGAACACCCTCTCCCTCCCACACACTCTCTCCTTCTCTGCCTTCCTCCCACACACACTCTCCTACTGTCTCTCTTCCTCTCACTGTTTGCCACACACTCTTTTCCTCCCATTTATTTTCCTATGCACTCTCCCACTCACTCTCTTCAACGCACTGTCACACACTCTGACATGTAAATTATCAGTCTTCACGTTACAACTTTACCAGTCATAGTAAATGAATACTTGTGACCATGTCTACACCTTTTTTCACGCCTCATTGACTTTTTTTTTAATAAAAAAAGGCAAGTCGATGAATTACTCGAAATTTTTCATTTGATTTCAATATTTCTCGCGTTAAGGCCAAATTTTATGCCTAAAACGACTTATAATAGTTTTATTTAGACTTAAAGCAAACTTTCGACAAACAGTATTTGAATCGGCCGTTCGCATATTCAAGTGACAAATGACCAAACAAATTTGACATTTATGTCCATGAATACACACTTGCCATCCTGAGTGGACATTTCTCCATCTCAAACAACATTTGTCAACATTTGGCCTTAGGGAAGCATAAAGTAACTGGTGTGGTAGAATAGTTACCAATGATGTCATCTGTCTTAAAATATGTGGTGAATCTTAGTCAAGATATTTCTGTCAAAACCTTAAATGAGGGTTACGGTCCGTAGACAAAACCATTTTCTCTCTAAAATCTTAATGTCAATAATATTCCAGTAAACTGTATATTCTGTATCTGACATAACCAATAAATAAGAAGTTGCTAGGTAAGTAGATCAGATACATAGATAAATACAATAAATCTACAGATAGGTTAGGTTAGGTTAGGTTAGGCGGAAGTAAAAGAAAATGAACGAAAACTAGGAAACGTTAATATAATAGAAAGACAGGTAGACAGGTAGACAGAGAGAGAGAGATTACCTGTTTCGATGGTACTAGGGAAAGTTAGGTTGTTAGGCATCTTGGTAATAACCTTAATGATTACGTTGCCTCCACACATCCGTCACCCATCACCTGTCACCCTACACCCGTCATCTTACACCCATTACCCTGCGCTCGTCACCTGTCACCCTACACCCGTCATCTTACACCCATTACCTTACACCCATTACCCTACGCTCGTCACCTGTCACCCTACACCCGTCATCTTACACCCATTACCCTACGCTCGTCACTTGTCACCCTACACCCGTCGTCTAACAGCCGTCACCTTATACTTGTCACCTGTCACCCTACGCCCGTCATCTTACACCCATTACCTTACACCCATTAACTTACACCCATTACCCTACACCCATCACCCCACAACCATCACCCTCCACCCATCACCCTGCAACCATCACCCTACATCCATCACCCTACACCTAATACCCTGCACCCATCACCCTACAACCATCATCCTACAACCATCACCCTACAACCATTACCCTACAACCATCACCCTATAACCATCACCCTACAACCATCACCCTACAACCATTACCCTACAACCATCACCCTACAACCATCACCCTACAACCATCACCCTACAACCATCACCCTACACCCATCACCCTACAACCATTATATTATCCTAAAACCATCACCCTTCACCCATCACCCTACAACCATTACCCTAAAACCATCACCCTTCACCCATCACCCTACAACCATCACCCCATCGAATATCAAAACATTTATATTATTTCCCTCTACACAAGACACAGAGAAAGCCGAAGGTTGCTAACGACGGACTCCGGTCATTAGCTCTCGGTAATTTCCAATGGAGTCTTGGGTTAATGGAACATTATATTACATTAGGTGGGGATCATCGAGATACTCTGGGAGGTAAAGGGATAGGGAGGAGGTCAAAGGTCTATTGGTTCATAGATTGGACGCTTTTAGACACCTTCACTAATTCATAATACATTCTCTTTGTTTACCTTCTTGGTTCCCAGTACATGTGAGAGTTTCATTGTTTACAGTATTCATTCTGTTGAGACGATCACACTACTTCAGGAACATGTGTGGGCTGTTAAGTTTACCTGGTGTGTCTGTCATGTTTTTATCTGACAAGTGAGTGTATACTGTATGTCATGCACGGCTGTGAGAAGTATACCTATCGTGTGTGTCTTGTTATCTGTACTCTATGTGACTCTGTCATTTATGTCTAGCATATGTGGCTCTGTCATTTATACCAAACATATGTGACTGTCATTTACACCTAACATATGTGGCTCTGTCATTTACACCTAACATATGTGGCTCTGTCATTTACACCTAACATATGTGGCTCTGTCATTTACACCAAACATATGTGGCTCTGTCATTTACACCTAACATATGTGGCTCTGTCATTTACACCTAACATATGTGGCTCTGTCATTTACACCTAACATATGTGGCTCTGTCATTTACACCTAATATCTGCTGCTACCCTCCAACAACACACAGACACATCACTAGACTCCGGGAAGACGAGGGAGGAGAGTGGGCACGAACGAGGGTTGAGAGTGGCTCCTCGACTAAGCCAGACACAAGAGATAGCTTATAGGGATGAGCCAGGATGGGTTATGGGCAGCTGAGGTATTGATCATTGTCTATCTAGTGATGGACGGAGGCACTGACTGATCATCGCCTTGTCCTGATTGATGTCGGTCTGTGTGTCTGTGATGATGTAATTCCTCGTTGTCTATGCTTCTTTGTGGTGATATAATTCTTCTCCTAGATGTCTGTGACTGCAATCTATCTATTTTTATCTACATCTATCAATCTATCTATCTATCTAAACACACTTCAACAACACCATCATCAAATAATCATACTCATCACCCTAACATACATACTCTCCTTATACTCAAACGTTACTCTCGGGGTCATGGTACACGTACACACACACACACACACACACACACACACACACACACACACACACACACACACACGTATACGTACACCAGTGCCCCCGTCTGCCCTCGCGACACTCACCGTAATAGCCTCCACACCTGAACTCGAGGTAACAGGTATAAGGACACACTAATTGCTCCCTCCCTGGACTGTCAGAGAGGTGCAATTTCGGGCGAGTGTGTGTGTGGTGGGCCGACATTGTAATTACACCGAGCCATGCAGGGGCAACAATGTAAAGTATACCTGTGCAATGGGACCTCTCTGTAGCATTGTAACCGGGATATTATGGGATATAAGCACCTTGCAACTTCGACTTTTGGAATAATCTTCTTTGCAACATGAATATTTTGGGCTGATTTCCAACATGTAATCGGCAAATTTGTGATTACTTGTAATATATTATAACAGTTGGTATATTATTACTATTTCCCATATTGCAAGACCCACCATATTACAACAGAGGACATATTGCGGAATTTACAATATTGCATCACTCTCCACATCAAAATACATGACATATTGGGAAAGCCGACACTATTAAAACACTTACTATATTGTACGCCTATATATCACTATATTTTGCTCCAATATAACAGAACAGATAATTATATAACGCCTGCCCCACACACACACCTCCTCTCCTACATTATATAACTTGCTCTGTTATATCACCTGTTATGCTACAACATTTATATTATATCTATCTATCTATTTATCGATCTATCTATCTATCTATCTATCTATATATCTATCAGGTACCACCATATCTTACCTGAATAACCAGCATGAACTCTAAAGACACACTTTCTCCTCACAAGTAACCAAA